CTCTACAGCTGCTGCCATTCCTGAGGGAGAAAAAGGAGTGTGTGGTACACACAGAACAGAGAACTGAGGGGTGGATGTTGATGTGATAGGAAAGGCACCCCCCCACCTCCTTGTGTGAAAAGACATGGAGAGCTGCCCCGGGTTTAAGGAAACTTCATTTCTTGCAACTCACAGAATCAAGAAAGATCCTTTGGTATCCATGGAGTGTTGTTCACACAATTCATTCAGTCAATGCGTTTCGAGTCCTTGGTAGGCACTAGGTCTCAGGGGCCATGCTGGCGCACAGGAAGAAAGGGTCTATTTCAGATTAGCACCAAGTGTTCCGCGTCCACCATCATGCAGGCAGAGTGCCATAGGACCAGTCACTGGAGCTAGGATAGAATAGAAGCCAAAGGGAACTTTCGAATTCAAGGTCAGAGATGGAAGCTCAGTGTACAATGGGAGTGAGAACAGGGTCCCAAAAGCCGCTTTGGAAGAGGTGGGCGTCATGAGGGAGTTGCCCCATTTCATGAATGTAAACTATTAATGGCAATGGTATGAGCTTCTCTGAGGAGCAAGACCACCCACTAAGCAAAATCCTGTTCTAGACTGCTGACAGAGTCAACATCTTCTTTGGGCTCTCACCTTATTCCATTTATCTTGCAGGGGTAACTGGCCTTTCAAAGTGTAAGGTAGCATGGCAAGCAGCCACAGGTGTTATTACTGGGAACCATGGAGGTACGTAGAGACTTTTAAAAAGGAAAACAGATGGCACCGGAGTCCATGAAAATGGAGAAAACCTTTCAGTGAAGGCAGAAGTCCTTACCAAAGCGAACTCTTTTCCCCAAGAAGACAGCCATGAACAACATCAAGCTAAACCACAGCCGACTGCAGCTCTGTAGAAAGTCAAAACTACTTTAGTGAGGGCAAGGAGACTTGGAGACAGTGCAGGTTGGGGAGACACTGCCCTTGAAATGAAGTACACCTTCCCCTTAAGCTGTGGTTGTCTTTTTTTCAAAAGGACACAACAATTAGCTGGGACGACAGGCGCATGGGATAAGTAGTTGACTGGAGAGCTTGCCAGATACAGGGTAATCAACATCTCGCCCATGGCTTACTGTCACACCCTTCCATCTCAATTTCATGGGAAGCTAAATGCCAACCCCTTGGAATGTAAGTTACAGGGATACTGGGACAACCATTCTCTCCGTTTTTAGGTGGATTTTGGTTAAATGTTCTGTCGGTTAGCCAGAGTGTGTGACAAAACACCCCAAGAAGGCAGTACAGTAAAACAGCAATGTCTTACTTTGTTCAGAAGACCGGCAGGCAGTTCCGCCTGTGCTCCAGTGAGAACTTTGCCTGCCATCCTTGGCTCAGCTTCCTTAATCATCTCTGGCAACAGTCACGGTGTCTGCCTGGCTATGCTGGTGTGTGAATGGTCTGCCATCATCTCCCACATTGACTTGGTTTCTCCTTGCTGGGGTGAGTGGAATGAACCGGCCCTGGGTCTCTCATGATCCGGGCAGCCTGCGCTACTTCACATTACTCTCAAAGTGCATCAAGCACTGAAACAGGCAGATCCTCCAGGACAAGCACTTTCAAGTCAGCTGGCTTCATGTTTGCTCTTGTCAAACCCGATGAAGTGAGCTACATGGCAAAGGCCAGAGACAAGGGCAGAGGCAGAGGGACACCTCCCACTTGTTAGCAGTCTACTACCACAGAGATCTGTGGCCTGCCTTGACTATCATGAGAGAAAATCTTACAGTTTGACAAGTCATACCTCACAAGCCTGTTCTCTTAAAAACTGGCCTTCGTATTTCTTTATAAATAATAGCTAGCCTTCCCTTATTCCGCTGAGTGAATAACACAATTATTTTATGAAATGCTGGAATGGATGTATCTGAAATTCATTCATTCTGGGAGAAGTTGTAATGGACTCTCCTTAGAAAGTGGTGCCATTCCGCGACCGGAGCAGGTCACCGCAACCTTCTTTCCCCCTTCTGCTGTTTGCAGTCTTCAGTTTCCTCTTTGCCACTGGTCTCCTTCACTCTGTTCTTGCGTTTCCTTTCACTGTTCTCCTGAGATCTTTTTCTTCTCCTGCAGGCCAAGCCTTGACAGTCTGTACTTAGGTTCAGCTGTCTTTGAGCAATCCAAGAAATCATAAATGATGCCAAAGCCACCACCAAAAATGGGTTCTGACTCCAACTACAAGGATGACATCTGATGTGGTCCTTCACATTTTGTCTAGCTTTCCCCAAATTTCTTTCTCCATTAGTGTTGCTTTTCTAGGGTGAAGGACATCAAAGGCCACCCGTGTCTTCTGTAGTAGACAGAGGAAATGAATATGCTGGCCGGGATAGTCACTGTGGTATTCTAGATGATGGCAACCCTCCAGAAGCAGGAACTCCTTGGCTTTGGTTTAATCAGAGACAGTTGGAATCTCCTAAACCTGCCACAGATCCCAGCACAAACTACTAGCTGCCACCTGTGCCTTCTGCTTAACTCCAGCATTCAGATGGCCAAGAAGAACTTTTGACATTTTTTTTACTATTATTAAGCCTAAACTAAATTTTTAGGACTTCTTATATTTTTTATTTGTTTTGTGGGAGTTGACATTGCCCATTTGACTGCCTTTGTTGCAACTGTCTTTTCCATGTGTTTGCAGTCACGACACAGGAAAGCTGCTGTTCTTGCAAACACTGACATTACATTCGTAAGTTAACAGAAAACAATGTCCATATTTTCCTGAGTTTTACCTAAGAATATATCACCCACAAATCAAATCACACTAATCTTTTATCCAGGATGGTAGACATTGATCTCTCACAATCCCATTGCCCCAATTTGGAGCTTCTTAAGAGACATTTAACAATATGGTTATAACAAGCATATTGCATATATATGCATATATAACATATTGCATATATAACAAGCATATTTACCTGCAACCTGATGGAATAGGATGTGCTTTTATCGAGTTCTTTAATGGTAATTCTGAGCGTGTCTACACTGAAGAAAGTGACTTGACAGCTCTCTTTACCTAGATTGTCTTTAATCACAGGCTGATCCTCTCCAAAGGTCTCTGATTATTCTTCCCTCCTTATCATATCTTCAGTAGCAATGGTACAGCCCAGTGTCTCCACCTGCTTGCTTCTGCCCATATCCTCCCCACATGACCAGGTCTTGGGCACTGCAGACCACATCAGTCATTTACAAAAGCCCTATCCAGGCTGAGATAGCTCACATTTGAAACCCTTGACAATAGGACCATTGTTATTCCTGTTTCTGGTTTACCTGGTGTGGAAAATACATTGCTCAGTTAATCCTTGAAATCTGCGCTGTGTGGGTCACAGTTGCCTCCCAAGTTTTCTGAGTTCACTTCCCCTTGGTGAAACTGTTTTCCTCTCCAAAGCAGGGTTCTGTAAACTTTAATCCACCCCAGGACCCCGTTGATGCCAGGAGCGTGATGGTGGAAGATAGACAAGATTCCTGAAACAATGGGGAGACATTCGGTGCCCCCAGAAATCTAGAAATCTACACTAGAAAACGAATGAGAGAATCCTCAGGGAAAAATAAAAAAAAAAAGTAGGGTTAAAGTTTTGTGTAAATTTTGGACTCTAGGGTGTTGCTTCTCTGGCAAGAGGTCGGTGTGATCAGAGCACACTGAACTTTGCAATCTCCGAATGGAAACCACCAGGCCAAGGCAATGGCTCACTAGGTAAAGTGCTTGGGGCTCAAGAAGGAGGACCTGAGTTCTGTCCCCACCACCCACATACAAGCCAGCCTGCAATCCCAGAGGCAGGAGTAATCCAGAAACCCAGACTCTGAATTCCAGGAGCTCTCTGGTCCAGTGCAGTCTAATTGTCCCCAACCTGTCCTCAAAGTCATAATGGAAGGAGAGCAATGGAAGCAGCGAGGTAAGGTATCTTTGCCCACCTTAGGCCTACACCTGTTCAAAGAGAGCACTCACAGGTGCGCGTCAATTATTTTCAAGAATCACCAAACCCCCGAATGCTCCCATGTAAGCAGGCCAGGAAAGGGTGCAGTGTGTGAGAATGGAGGTGATTGACAGGGAAACCAAGACTGTGTGAGGGTGCTGCTCCAGAAACACCCTGCAATGGGCTGCAAACAAGGCTTGGACCAAGGAGTCCCGGGGTTCGATGACTGCAAAACTGAGGAACAGGGAGGCTATACATGATGTGAATAGGGGTTGTGTGCAAGTGTTTAAGGCAAGGGCTGAGCCAAGATGGTTGACAAGCCGCAGAAGAGAACCTATTGAAGAAAGCAAGCTGCATGTGACTCAGCAAAGATTATTCTGGCAAGACTGCCATTGGTCATTTTGGCGACACCAGCCTTCTGCCTATAAATAAGGCAGTGCTGTTCATGATGGGAGAGGACGATGATGCCAGCCTCGACCCTGCAGCGTGTGCCTTTTTCAGGGAGGCCCTGGCCCCCGCTGCTCCCATGTCTGGCAGAGACACACATGTGGTGAGGACCCTGTGCAATGTCACAAATGGGGTGCACCTCCCCAGGGCAGTGGGAGCTAGAAGCTTCCCAGGCAAGGCGGTGCGCGGCGCCTGCGCAGTGGGCCTGCAGCATCACGCGTTGCAGGAGGGAGACGGGAGACCCCCGCCTCCGCCCCTCGCCCTCAGCCGCCGCCGCCGCGTGCGCGCACGCGGACCCGGCCACGCGCGCGCACGCGCTTCACCTGGCTCAACCTCTGCCAGGGCGGCCAGCGACGGAGCGAGCGCGCGAGCGCGGACGGGCGGGCGGGTAGGGACCGCGCACGGTCCAGTCGGGGGCTGTGCGGAGGCGCGGGCTCTGGGCACCCGGCTCCCGGCGGCGGAAGCGGCGCCTCCAATCAGGCAGCGGGCTCGCGACCCTCGGCGCACCCGGGCGGCACTGCCCGCCCCGCGGACTGACTGACGCGCCGGCTCGCCCCCGCCCCCGCGCCCGCCCCCGCCTCGTCTACCCAAGCTCGGCTCAGGCTCCACTGGGCTTTGCTCTGCTTGGCTCCTCTCCGCTTGGCTCTGCTCCGCTCCGCTCTCCTCCAGCCCTTGCCAGGCCCTTTCCCTGCCCGCAGCAGCTCCTCGGCTGCGCAGCGGCGGCCCGCTCGGCAGCTGCAAGCGACCAGAGAGGCGGCGGCGGCGCCGAGGATGAAGTGCAAGCCGAACCAGACGCGGACCTACGACCCCGAGGGCTTCAAGAAGCGCGCCGCGTGCCTGTGCTTCCGCAGCGAGCGCGAGGACGAGGTGCTGCTGGTGAGCAGCAGCCGCTACCCCGACCGCTGGATCGTGCCCGGCGGGGGCTTGGAGCCCGAGGAGGAGCCGGACGGCGCGGCGGTGCGCGAGGTGTACGAGGAAGCGGGAGTCAAGGGGAAGTTGGGCCGGCTGCTGGGAGTCTTCGAGCAGAACCAGGACCGCAAGCACCGGACCTACGTGTTCGTGCTCACCGTCACCGAGCTGCTGGAGGATTGGGAAGACTCGGTCAACATCGGCAGGAAGCGAGAATGGTTCAAGATCGAAGATGCCATCAAGGTCCTCCAGTGCCACAAGCCCGTGCATGCCGAGTACCTGGAGAAACTGAAGCTGGGCGGCTCCCCGACTAATGGAAACTCGGCCGCCCCGTCCCAGCCAGAGAGCGAGCCCTAGTATGTACCGCTCCCGCCCGCCTGCCCGCCCATCCATCTGCCCGGACTCCTGCCTGTCGCCTCCCCGCACTTGCCTCCTGCCTGCCAGGAGAGCACCTCTCCTGCCCAGTGCGTCCGCATGGGCAGGAGGGAGTCTTCTTTTGTTTCCTTGGCAGGCAGACCTCTGAATCACGCTTGCAAACTGTCTTGATTGCCAGGCGCTGTTTGCAGACAATTTGCACGTTTTTTTCAGATGCTTTTCTGATCGCTTCTTGGTGACACTGTAAAAATCTTGCGCTCAGCCAGAGATGCATGGGATTTTGTGAAAGGTGCCTTACTGCTTGCCCTGCTCTTCATGGATTGTGTGTGTGCGCGCGTGTGATGTTTTTGTTTGGGTTTTTTTTTTCGTTCAACACCCTTTACATGTGTTTTGCGTGAGTGTGCGTGCGCGCTTTTGATGCCAGCCTTGTGGTGTGTTTCTTAGTGGAGGCCTTTAGAGTCCTACCAGCTGGCGGGGGAGAGAGAACTGGGGGGGGCATCTTTTGTGTTTTTTCCCCTCGTTTTCTCATTCACAGCCATGGTTCTTGGCAGTGTGCCATTCTTGGTAGATATTGACTCGGATGATTTATTTGTAATTAATATAAGAAAAACTGGAGACCTTTTACCTTTCCTTTCTGCACCCAAACTGTCATCTAACATGCTCAACTTCCTGTATTTTCATGACCAAAAACCATTCTAATGTCAATAAAATTCTACAGTTGATGATTTCTCACTACATCATCAATGGTAGCATTTTCTTGAAAACTAAATGGATATGTTCATTTCTTACATAAGTTACTGGGGCTTACTCCGATAGACTGGCTCTTTCTAGAGACTTGCTAATAAGATACTTTTTTATCAGTGTAACACTATACAAGAGTTTTAGCCTACTCATCCGTCAGTTTCCAACTCCCAGCACCTTCCTGGATATTCTTTTTTAAATGTGCTTTTCTTGGTGTACATTCATTTTTTAGAAAGTAATCTATACTTGAATTTATGACTTCTTGATTTAAACTTCCTGGCTCTCGCTCGGTAACTGTAAGAATAGAATCTTTTATGGTGACTGCATATCTGCAATCATTCCAGACATTTCTAGTCTTTAAATTCGTGTTGCTTGCTGTTAACATATGTCTCAGAATGTGAGGACATGAACCACTGAGTAAAGGTTTCAGTACTTATAATAAACTTTTTGATTGCTGTATTGTTGTTACTGTTACCTTGATACTTGTTTGAAATAAGGAGCCACCTCTACAGTATGTCATTCTCTTTTCTGGAACTATCCTCAGGTCCCCTGCCATGTCTATTTAGCTATCTAGAAAGCCTTTCTAAAAGATAGTATTAAGACTGGAAAGATCATCCCATATTTTATGTGAGCATTTATAAGAAACATCTTGGATGAGAATAATGAATATACTTGGAGAAATAATGACCATGTAAAAAAACTAAACTCCCTTGAGTTAGAACTTTTTACTTTTTATTAACTTATTTCGGAATTTCATAGGCTTTATTTTGATCATCCTCTTTTTCATGCCCCAAGTCCTCTCAGGTGTTCCTCACCCCCCAACCCACACTCGACTCTGTGTTCTTTCTTTCTAGCTCAAAAACAAAACCCAAGGAAACAAAAAAAAAAAATACAAAAGACAAACACCAATTCATTACAAAATAAAAGCACACCAAATAACTTGGGGTCCATTTTGTTGTTGGTCAACTACTCCTAAGCATGAGGCCTCAGCTGGAGTTTGGCTGACACAGGTAGTGCCACCCCACTAAAGAAAACTGAGTTTCTTTCTCCCAGCAAGTATCTTCTTGGTTAGGGGTGGGACTTTGTGCCCACTTCCCTTTCACCATGCTGAAATATTGTCTGGCTTGAATTTGTGCAGGCCTTGGTACATGCTCTCACAGGTTCTTTGATCTCATATGTACTTCAGTCCTGGTGTGTGTACAAGATGCTGGTTCTCTGGTGTCATACACCTCTTCCCCACAGATCCCTGAGCCTTGAGGAGGGAGGGGTGTTTGAGAAAGAGATCCCATTTATTGCTCTCAAATTACATTTTTAAAGCATAATCACTGCTAAAACTTTAATAGGACATCACCTTTTTAAAAAAATTCATTAATGCACAAATCAGTGTTTGAATCAATTTGTACTCCATGAAAATAGGAAGAATATCAAAGTATGCAGCTCCGGTAATTCATAATTTCTGTTTCTAATAACAAAGCCATTATATTTGCCCCCGTCACTATACTAGGCTGCTTCTGTCTTTTAATACCAGAGATAATTTTGGTTTTGAACCCTGTGTATACTTACTGCCTTTTTGTATGACTTATGTGCAGAGCATTCAAATGTGTTTTTCCATTTGTTTTTTTATTTCGAAATTAATATTGTTTTAAGCTTCTAGACGTGGGGTCCTTGTATTTTTCAAAAATTGATTTTCTTTATGAAAAAATTTACTTCATATTTAACATATAAACCCTAATTTCCAAAATATATTTCAATCTCCTACCAAAGGAAAGAGTATATGACTAATTTGAAGCACTTATCCTTATTTCCAATCAAAATTACTTTTACTAGTTAAAAAGTTTCTAGTAGATTCTGCAATTTTATCTCCATTAACCTAATGTTCTACATTGACATTGCAGATATAATGAATTCAGCTTTATGGGTTTATAAAAAAAAAACCCTAGAAACCCTGTCAGAAATGCAATGGAGGATTTCCTTGTACTTGCTACTACTAGAGTCACTAATGTGCCATCCTTTAAACTTACATTTATGTGTGTGCATGCACGCATGTGCACGTGGTTATGCTGGTGCGAGAATGCCATTGTGTACCTGTGGAGGTCGGAGAAAAATGTGTGCGAGCGGTGTTCTCTTCGTCCACCATGCAGGTTCAGGGAACAGAACTCATGTGGTCAGGGTTGCTCACAAGTGCTTTACCCACTGAGTAATCCTGTAGGGCCTCTTAGTGCATCCTTACATTATAAATCTTACATAATCAAAAGTGTATTCATAATCCATTATAAAAATGTTTGCCTATAAATATACTGTGAATTTTTCTCATCAAGATTTTGTCAGTAGTCCCAGATTTAAAAACATTATTGGGGATGGTATATTAATTCTACCAGTCTTCTAAAAACTACTCAACAACTGGGTATTTTTCCAAGGGTATGAATCCATTTTATATAGTATTTATGATTATACTAAAATATACAACCAAACTTTTACATCCATCTTTCAAGTGAAAAGGGAAGAGTACAACATCAGATAATTGTGATTTTCAGATATGAATTAGAAACTTCTTTTCCAGCCGGGCGGTGGTGGCACACGCCTTTAATCCCAGTACTCGGGAGGCAGAGGCAGGCGGATCTCTGTGAGTTCGAGACCAGCCTGGTCTAGAAGAGCTAGTTCCAGGACAGGAACCAAAAGCTACAGAGAAACCGTGTCTCGAAAATAAATTTAAAAAAAAATTCTTTTCCATACATTTTATAAATAGCTTTCATCTTCCATTTTCATTTGTTCAAGTGTTTTGTTGGTACCTGTGTATTTTTCTGGGCCTTTTGCATACTGAGCATGTACTGGACTACTGAGCCCCACTCTCAGCCCCGTGATAAAGTGTTTTGTTGTTTCAGATGTACACAGAGGAAACAAGTTAGTATAGGTTTATGTTAATATGTTTGTATATATACTGGAAACATGTACTCTGGCCTATAATGTAAAGAAACAAAGTAAAGGCCGGAAATTGACTTGTATAATCCATTTGCTTTCTACATTGCTGTATAGATTCATTTGAGATATTTGCTAAGGCTTTTCATTCTATAAGAATGACTTACAGGTTGTAGATGAAAATTTTCCCTGAGCAGAGCTTTTACCTCCAGGCTTACTATTTTCCTGGTAGCCCTGTTTTGACACTGTCTGTAACATAGAACAGTTCTGAGCAAACAGAGCTATAGGAAGTCAGTATGGCCACGTGACACTTTCACGAGAGAACAGGAAGTTATAGAAACTTCACAGACACTGGGAAGTCAGACCTAGTTATAGTTCTTACACTATAATTTCACCAGTTACCAAATCATCTGACACTCAAGTTTTCTCTTGTCTGTCATTGTAGACGATACAAATACTGTGTAGATATCTCCAATGAGCTATCCCTTTCAAATGCATGAAGAAACATACTTCTGTGCAGTGGTTAACAGTTTATTGTACATGACCAATGTGTATTGCGATGTGTCCACTAGCCTGAATTATTCCTGTAAGTTTAGACTCTAGTCTAGAAGGTAGAATTCTCTGGTTTCACAACGAGAAAGAGAGGAAAGAGAGAGGGAGAGAGAATGTGTGTGCATGTGTGTACTCATAGTTCCCTCGACTGCTAATCTAGGTTCACAATGCATTTGCCCTGGAGCCTGTGCGGGCTTTCTAAATACCAAGTGATTGGTGCACCTAATGTGTCCTTAGGAACTTTGTTGCTTGGAAGAATTGTAAAAATACACCTGCAATATATATGTTTGTTTGTTTTTCCAGATGAACAGGAACCATGCTCAAGATTACACTGAAGTAAAATCATTGATGTGAATCCAGTATTCAGTGGTATTTTCAAGTTCACCGGAGTACTTTTAAGGTTCCCAAGGAGACCACTCATCTGGTTTTCCTTCTACATCTTGGAACACTCCTCCGTCTGTTTTACCAACATTTTTGCTCTGGTTGTTGTACTATTGTATGTGAGCGGACTTAATTCAGCACCTATAGCCTTTTGTTGTGCTTTACTGATGTGTCTGCCTTGTTCATTAGACTATTATCTTTGAGAGCAACGACTATTTTTCCTTAACTCTACGTAGCCTGCATCCAAGACACTACTTGAAATATGGTTGGCATCACTGGAGGTCTTTGATTCAATTCATATTTTGTAATCTCTTTGTGGCAAACATTTCCCTCCCAATCTGGTGCTAGGAGAGTGTCTGCTGTCTAAGCACCATGTGTGTGGCTTGTGTGTAACAGGTGTTTCGTAATCATTGCAGGACAGGTGGAGATGATCACCGAGAAGCATTAGCACTCATTCCTGTGTCATACCATACATTGGCTGGCACAGTTTTAATACTGTGCCATCATTTAGAGTAACATTTTATAGAGTTAGTCCTTCATGTAACAACTTTAGTGTTTTTGTACTGTTATTAATTTGCTTAAAATTCTATTCAGAAGTATCACTTGCTATAAAGGTAATTGTAAAAACACTACAATCAAATCCTATTGTGAGTTTTTATAAAAGTAAATTTTAAAGTAATATACAAATAATACATTTAATTTTTTGCAATGCTCTATCTACTTCTTAAATGTCAACATTTCCTTGCAGAAAATGCTGGGTTTTTTTATTTTAAAGATTCAATATTCTGTAATATTTAATGGTGAACACAAAGAAAAGCTGCTTTTAAAGCAGTTTTTCAGACCTATTTATGCCATTTAGTTGCCTAAGTGTCTTTTGCCTCTCACTGTTTCAGTTGGCTGCGGTTCTCATCCCTTTTCTAGTACACCCAACTAGCTTCTGGGTACCACATGCTTTCTGCATGTAAAATCGCAAAAGGCTGAGAGGGCTAAATTGGTGTCACTTAGAAAGGCTTCAGGGAAAAAGACTGCTGTAAAGGGGAACACAAGAAGAAGAATTTAAATGAGGGAGCTTGGGTCAACTCTTCCCAGAAGAAGAGGTTTATGGCAAAGACATGGAAATTTCACGGCGTTTTGCCACAGGGTGTGTGATGTCATTACTCTTTCTCAGCTCACTACAAGGGTTCCAAAGAGGTTCTAATATGGTTGTTGTGTTTTACCATTATAAACCATTATGTTGGGAAAGGCTTGAACTCCAGTTTAGTGTTAACACCCTTCCTCGTGCCGGTGAAATGTATTGTGTCCCCATATCTTACAGACTTTGAAATAAAACTACATCTTATCATTTACTGGAGTTTCTACTTGTGATATGTACTGTGGTTTTGCTTACTAAAGAAACCCTTATCGTTTAGAGAACTGTACTGAAAATTTACAGATACGCTACTGTGAATTGCTTCAATATAATCAGGGTGGTATAAGTTTGTATATAGATGAAGCAAGATTGGCTCTGATTTGATAATCGTTGAAGCTGTGTGATAGATGTTTGAGAATTCATTATTCTCTATACTTTTGTATATGTTTGAAATTTTCCATAATAAAAATTGCAAAGATGTATTCCTTAGAGTTTCCTAGTAGGCCACTTCCCTCTTTAGAAGTATGACGGCTGGTCAGAATAATAATTCACAGAAAGATAAAACTGTTCTTCTAAAGAGCTGGCTTTTCTTCCTAATCTATATGTGTTGCTAACTATAGGTCTCTTTCCAAGAAGTTTTTTTTTTTCTTGGAAGACCTCCAGTTAACATGTGCAAAGGGACCTTAGCTCACCCAGTATCCAATATGTGACCAATGACGTAAGTTAAAGTGCAGAACAAACAACGATCCATTTTACAATCTTTTTTAAAAAATATGTATATAAGGGTTTTGATGCCCATGTGTATGTGCACTTCGTGAGGTCCCCAGATCCCTTGAACTGGGCTTAATGATATTTTGTAAACTGTCAGTTTGATGCTGGGAACCCAACTCGAATCCTTTGCAAGAAGAGCGAGTGCTCTTAAATACCCATCCATCTCTCCAGTCCCACAATTTTCTTAAAGAATAACATGTTCGAATTCATCTTCATAAAATTCTAAAAATGAAAAAAATAAATGAGTAAAAATAATTCACAATCCCTCTTTCCAGAGATAACCAAGCTTTAAGAACAAGCTCAGTCTTGATTCTTTGCATATAATCGTATATATTATGTGATTATATATCACACACATGCACACACACACACACACACACACACGTCCACCAGAATGTTTACAACAAGTCCATGGTGTTTCTGGTTTAATCACATTCCACACTGGCACAATGCTCTTCCTTAGAACGTGTTGGGCTGCTGCTACAGGCCATTATAAAATTTGTGCTGCTTCAGACATGTACAAATACGGGAAGCAAAACATAAAACTTGGACCCTAAACTCTAGATACACTGTCTTTACAAATTTCTGGGGCAATTTTGCTGTGTGTGTGTCCCTGTGTCCTAATATCCTCACACACAAAGCTCTGAAGCCACGGATTTCGAAGTAGTCAGTTCAGGTGGCATAACAGCTCGTGTCTATTATCAAGTTAGAATTGTCTGGAAACAGAGCCTCTGGACAAGTGTGTAGGGATTGGTATTGACTGGGTTAACTGAGCTGGGAAGTCCTGCCCATTGTGTGTGGAAACAAGTCTTGGTTGAAATTTTGGCATGTGGAAGTGGCCAAAGCTGAGCAACAAGTAACCTTCATTCCTGCCTGGGTCTTGATTTCAGATGTCCTGACCAGCAGTTTCAAGTTCCTGTGCCTTGACTTCCCATTATGATGAGACTAAGTGTACCAGTCCTTTTCTTTTGGGCTACCAGGACCAGCTCATAAATCATGACATGCCCAGCCTAGGTTAGGCTCCTTTCTGGCTAGCTCTTTTAAATGAACCTGTTTCTCTGTATCTACCTTTTGCCTCGGAGCTTATTATCTGTCTTCTGTATATCTTACGGTCACAGTTCTCTACGGCTAGCTGGTGTCTGCCTAGCTTCTTGCCCCAGGTATATCCCTCATTTTCTCCTCTTTCTTCTCTGAGTCTAGATTGCTCCTCCTATTTATTCTCTCTGCCTGAGAGCCCTGCCTATCCTTGCTCCTGCCGGTCGGCAAGATGAAACAGATATAACACATGTTTGCATCATTTAAAAAATACAGCACAAACAAAAGTAACACATTTACACAGTTAATGTCATATTCTGCAGCATAAGCAAATGTAATATTTCACAGCACTATGCCCTTGAATTGTGAACTGAAAGAAAACTTTTCTCCCCTGAATTGCTTTTGCTGGAGTATTTTACCATGGTGACAGGAAAAGAAACTAAGACAAATGGGTTCTCAGAAGGAAAATAATTGCAGCACATTGGCTTCAAATAAGCCTCACATACAAAGCTCTATCTGTTTTACAAGATGTTCATTTTCTCTAGGTCCTCCTGTCTGTGATGTCATTCTGTAGCCCCTGATCCCTATTCTGAACAGCTGTTTCTAAATGGTAACCAAGGATACCTCTTACTTTGGAGGGAAGGAAAGGAGCACTGTTCTCTGCCCATTACCTTTTCAACACATAAAGTGCCCTCACTCTTATATAATAGCCTACAGCACATTAGACACCACTCTGTTAGTTTAATGGGATTTTAGTGAAGATGGCGAGACTATGTGAAGAAAATACAATACAAACATAGGGAGTGTAGTGAGATGGATCAGAGGGAAGACATTCAGACCACCAAACATTCAGCCTTAGTTTGATCACCCAAATCCACATGGTGAAAAAGTAGAAAACTTCAGTTGTCCTCGGACATCCACACATACACCATGGCACTTGCAACAACATGTTCATGCACACATGCATACACACATACATACACACACACACACAGAGAGAGAGAGAGAGAATGTAATTTTTTAAAAAAGAACATATACTTTACATTTAGCATATATAAAATATATGCTAGAAGGATAAGGCAGGTCCTTTCTCAATCCAGCCCTGGACTTGTTTTCTAATACAAGCTGACCCAAGTGCCTTGAAATAATGTCTCCAAATGAAGTAGCATGTGCAGGGCCTGCATGAGCCTGCACGGGTCTGTGCCAGGTCCTTTGTGCATATATCATGACTTCCAGTTTAGTGTTTTTATGGGATTCCAGAGTGTGCAAATGAGTGGGCCTCTGACTCTTATCTCTTCTTCTTGGGCTCTTCCTTCTGTTGGTTTGTCCTATCCAACTTTGATGTGATAGTTTTGGTTTTATCTTATTATACTTTATTTTGTTATATTTTCAAATGAATGAATGAGAATCTCACCACTAGGGTGTTGAAGGAGGGTACCACTTATTGGTGCCCGGCTGCCTGGTTAGCTTAGCCCCAAAATAATCACACAGAAACTGTATTAATTAAATCACTGCTTGGTCCATCAGCTCTAGATTCTCATTGGCTAACTTTTACATCTTAATTTAACCCATCTCCATTATTCTGTGCATCACCAAAAGGTTGTAGCCTACCACCAAAGTTTCAGCACATCTGTCTCCAGCAGGGGCTCCATGGCATCTCCCTGACTCTGCCCTTCTTCCTCCCAGCATTCAGCTTAGCTTTCCCTGTCTACCTAAGTTCTGCCTTGCTATAGGTTCAAAGCAATTTCTTTATTCATTAACCAATAAAAGCAACACATATACAGAAGAACCTTCCATACCACTAGGGTAAAGGTTAACAACTGAAATGTCACTTATACCTGCTGGAAAGAGAAAATCCATTTTCTCCAATAGAATGACACTGGGTATATCAACTACTGCAGGGCAGGCAGGGGTAGTTAACCAACATATAATGGACTACACAGTGTGTGTGTGTATGTGTGTGTGTGTGTGTTTGTGTGCTTTTATTTGGTTATACTTTGGTGGGGTTTTGTTTATTTGTTTTTCTTCTGGGGTATGGTCTTATTTTCTTGGGTTTGGGGGTTTTGTTGTATTTGATTTTTGCTTGACTTTTTGAGAAACAACCAAAAGTTGGGTGGGTAGAGAGGGGGAGAAGATCTGGAATGACTTGGGGGAAGGGAAGAATATGCTCAAAATATATTTAAATTCAAAATTCTTTTAAATAATAAACACATTTTTTCATTGGTTATACTAAACTTGTTACTCCAATGCAGGCGTTTAATAGGGTAAACTGGGTGTAAGGTTAAAGGTACCTCTCTACTACCTTCTTGACTTTTATGTGAATCAAAAAAAAACTTGTCTTAAAAAGCAAAGTCCATTTAAAAACTTCCATGGGGAAAAGAAAAGTCCCTCTAATATCTATCACTTCCAAAAATGGAGAGTTTGAAGTTTCACATCATAGGCATGGTGGTTCTCATGGCTATGAAGCGAAGAAAGCTGTTCTCTAAACTCTCATCTCTCTAGAACCTGAACTACCTCAAATCTATAGCCCCAGAAAAGAATGTTCACCTGAAGCCAATGAAATGAATCAGTGAGTTAACATTGTGAGTTGAGGATGAAATCCAGTTTTACCTAACTTCAAAGCTCATACTCTTTGAATGAAGATGATGGACAAGACTGACCAAATGTTGTGGTGAATTCCGTGTTACTCATTTTTCTGAAATGGTTAACTTGGGAAAGAAAAAGAGCCCCTCCTTTGTCTAAGAAGATTACTGAAACATGGCCTGGTCAGATCTACACAGCAATATGAAGAAGCATGCAAGTATCCAGCACATAATGATCAAATCAGAGCAATTGGTATGTCTTCTTTAATATAAATTAGTTTATCTTAAAATTCAGGTGTAGTTTGATAGAAAATATCCCATTAGTCAAACACAGATGAGAAAACTGAGGCTCAACATGGTTAAGTAAAATGAGTCATTCTCAATAAAAACCAGAGGTGGAGCTGAGGACCAGATATAAAGAATGCTATTGTTCTGCCACAAGATGAAACCCAGCTGCTTTTACTCACATTTTAAAATGAGGAAATGTGAGTTTATGGACAGATTAACTTGCTAATATATATTGTTATATAACATCATGTTATATATATATA